TTGTTTTCTTTTCAATATTTCTATTTCTTTATTAAAACTATTTTTCTTCTCCTGAATCTGTTCTCTTAATTCACTTGTTAGATCTTTAGTTCACTGAACATTTTGACAATCAGGTTTTTTATAATCTTTCTCTAGAATTTCCTCCACTTTCATTTCTGTGGGTTCTTTTGTTGGGGAATTGTAAATTTGGGGGGAGAATTTGTTTGCTTATTTGCTTATGTTTGTGAGGTCCTAGACTTGAGATCAGTTGCGGTGGGTTACCCTTCCTCTTTTATATGCGTTATCTTATGTGTTTTTCTTTTTTATTATAGGACTTCTGTTTTTGATATATGAGTACATGTCTAAGTTCCCCTCTGGTTATTTCTCCTAAGGGTCTGCTTTGGGGTTTTTGTCTCCCCAACTATGAGGTAAAGAAATGATTAGGCTCGGGTAGGGTTAGATCGACTGTGGGGTGATGCTCATTGTTGCTTGTCTGACTTGTTCTCGACAGCAGGATATCTTGAACTGTCCCAATTACTTTCTAGCCTCTCTTAAGGGAGGGGAAGCCAGGAATAGCACTAATATCAGTAATAAATGCATAAAATTTTAAGATAAATGCCCAGTGTCTACCTTGACATCTGTATCCCTAATTGTCACCTACGCAGAAATGGCAGGGGCAGCATTTGATATCAGTACCAGCAATACAACTATGGGAACTAGATAGGGCATTCAATTTTAGGTGCCTACTATGTCATCTACTGTATTTATAATCACTTTCATAAGAATGGGGTGTGAATTGCATGAACTTTATAATTTTATTACTTAGTGGGATTACACTTTCTTAGGAAAAGAGAAAGTAAAGTGGGAAGGTTAAAGAAAGGTTGAAATACTTTAAAAAGTGAACAGAAGAGACAAGAGAAAGGTAGCAGATATCAACTGTAATGTACAAGGAATACAAGATTTACTGAAAATAATAAAGAAAAAGAGAAAATGGAGTAAAGAAAACTTGGGTGTTAGTGGGAGGAGACAGCAAACAAGGGGAGATAAAAGGGATAAGAAAAATACATGAATAAACCCACAAATTTTACAAGATCAATATATCTCCAGTCAATATGTAATTGAACCCCAACTAACACAAGAACAAATAATTATTGCAAAGGAAAACAATTAATGTGAAAGTAAAAATTTAGAAATATACATTTTTTTTCCAAAACAATCATGCTATGAGTACACATGTAACCACACAAAATCATGCATAATGAAAAAACAGTGAACACTAATGATGTTTACAAAAAACATTTTTAAAGTAAACTTAAAAAAGATCAATAAAAAATAGATTACGGAGCTGGGGATATAGCTCAGTTGGTAGAGTTCTTGCCTAGCATGCACAAGGCCCTGGGTTCAATCCCTAGAACCACCATCTCCCCCCACCCCCGCAAAAAAAAAAAAATAGATTACAAATGGGAAATGGTGGA